GAGAAAGTTTAAAAGCAACATAAAAGCTATCAGAAAAATGAGGCCTTAAAAAAAATCCTATCACAACAGTATCATGCCAAAAGCTAAGCATATATTAAAAATTCAATATTTTCAATTTTAGATTGAAATCTAAAATTGAATTTTAGATTGCGAGATCAAGGTCAGCACCCTTGGCTCTCTGGGCCCCTGCCTTATGTGCCCAGGGTCACGTGGCTTGTCAGTGGCCAGGCTGAGACTTGTACCTCTGCCTCTGTGTCTGAGGCCCACAGGGTGCAGTTCCAGGCTGTGGGGTGGACCCCACGCTGACTCTTCGTTTGTTCACTCACTCATTCTGAGCCTCTAATTTTTTTTCCCCCTCTTGTTTTTGGCCATGCCACGTGGCTTGCGGGATTCTCAGTTCCCCGACCAGGGGTCGAACCCGGGCTGTGGCAGTGAAAGCCTGGAATCCTAACCACTAGGACACCAGGGAACTCCCTAATTCTAAGCCTGGCCTGTACCGGCTCTGGGTACATCCACCCATGGGCACATCCACCCACGGGCCAAGCGACCTCGCTGAGTCTCACCTGGGGGAGCAGTGCAGCCGGGAGACAGGTGATCAAGGTAAGTGGGGTGAGCGTGTAGCTCGGAGCCTGACTCACAGCAGGCTGTCAGGGACCCTGGCTGTTTTGCTGATTTTAGTAATCTTAATACCTTTTACCACCCCAGGCCTCTGAATAGAAACGGTGAGCCCTTCTGCAAGTGACTTTCCAGCCAGTGGCACTGCCCGAGGCTGGACCTTTGTGGGTGGCACCAGGGGGAGGGGGGGTGGGAGGGGGAGGCCAGGTGACCCGGGGGTGGACCCAGCTTGCTACAGAGAAGCAGGATGGTGCCTTGCCAACTCCGCCTGGCCTGGAGGAATCTCCCCTCCCTGAGAGGGGCTTGTATTTTACAAAATGTAAGGAGAACTGGCCAAGGCTAAATCAATAGTGCTTGCTGGGGGAAGGGGAAGGCGACCAGAAGGAGGTGAATTATGAAGTCAGTACAAGGGAAGCAACGCTATGGGCGAGGGGAGCACGGGGGCCGTGGGGAGTATCTGGGGAGGGCGGGGACGGCTTTCTGGAGGAAGGGACGTTTGCATGGCATCTTGGGAAAGGCAGGTGTGTGGGCGTGCATGAAGTTCACGGAGGCCGTTTCAGCCCAAGCTGGGGACAGGAGTAGGGTGGGTGCCCTGCTGTGAAAGCCAACTGGGCCAGCTGAGAGCCATGGCCAGGGGCTCGGGTCCCGCTCCCACCCACCTGGAAGGAGCTGCAGGGCTGCCACCCAACACAGCCTCGCACGCGTCCCCAGAAGCCACTCACCTGCTGATACGGGCCCAGGCCAGACGCACCGGGAGTCTGGTGCCAAGTCTCTGCACGGGTGGTGCCTGGGTGTGCGTCTATGACACTGCCTTGTAGGGCAGACACACACCCCAAACTAGACGGCTGAGTCCCACCAAGCCATGTCTGCAGAGACCACACCACCTGCCCCTCTACACACACACACACACACACACACACACACACACACACACACACACACACGGAGAAAGGGCATGTTTCAAAAGTGTCCTATGCTATGGACTGATTGAGTGTTCTGATGTGAGCAAACAGAGTTCTTGCAGACAGAAATGTCTCTACCTCCTTGCCTTCTCCTTTCTTTGTGCAAACACAAATAAAAAAATTAATTTTTTAAAATTATTACTTTGACACTTAATGTCTTTCTCATAAGTGAAGTATAAGCTGTTTGGGGAGGCGCAGTTCAAGCTGTGAAATGCAAAAGGAAAGGAGAGAGGGCTTGAGAGCTGGATTCAGGAAATATTTTGTTGAAACCAACACTTAGTGATGTAACTCAAAGAACCATCTTCCAATGAGATGAAACGTGGCACTGGGGGAGATAGGAATAGGAATAGCAGGAGCCTCGGGTCCACTGCGCCAGGCTCATCTGATTGTTACTTTGGTGGTTTCTTCCACATTGATGCCTCAAAGGACTGTCCATCGATGGCCCTGTCAGACACTGAGGACTAAAAGTGAGGACTAAAAGTGATGTTAATAGTAGCTACCATAACCTGAGGACCTATTATTTGCCAGCACACACACACGTGAAAGGGGCACTGTCTGGGGGGTAAGATAATCTGACTAGTTCTGATTCTGCCACTGAGTTCCTGGGACCTGAGGGGCATGGCCGATTGCTAGCCGAGTCCCCGGAGTGAGTGACGGGCCTGTGGGTCATCCCTGCCCTTTCCTGGGCCGGTTTCCTCATCGCCTAAGACTCCCTAAGGCACCACCCTGACCCCCAGAGCCACATTCGGGTGGAAGCACTTGGGAAGGTTATTTTAGGTCAACTCGCCTGGGTCGTGGGTGTCCTGACAGTTGGTTAAACATTATTCTGGGTGTGTCTGTGAGGGCGTTTCTGGGGGAGATGAACATTTGGCTTAGCAGACTGAGTAAGGCAGAATGCCCCCCTCCCGCCCCCGGCGATGTGAGCAGCCTCATCCGGAGGGTTGACTAGACAATAGGCTGAACTGAGCAGGGAGATTTCATCCTCTGCCTGCCGGGCTTGGGCTGGGATGTCAGTCTCCTGCCTTCAGATCCAGACTGGAACTAATGCCATCGGCTCTCCTGGGTCTCCAGTTGGTAGATCTTGTGTTCATTCCGCCTCCATAACCTTATGAGCCAATTCCTTGCAATGAATCTTTCTCTCTTTCTCCCCCCGCCCCACCCCAGTATACATGTGTGCATACAGAGGGAGACACCCCCTTGGCTCTGTTTCTGGGGCGAACCCTGCTACAGTGGTCATTCCCATCTGTGCCTGATTCCTGGGCAATGTCCCGTTAGTATACTGCAGCACTCCCTGCCTCTCCTCAACAGGCAGCAAGCACTATTGATTTAGCCTTGGCCAGTTCTTACATTTTGTAAAATACAAGCCCCTCTCAGGGAGGGGAGATTCCTCCAGGCCAGGCGGAGTTGGCAAGGCACCATCCTGCTTCTCTGTAGCAAGCTGGGTCCACCCCCGGGTCACCTGGCCTCCCCCTCCCACCCCCCCTCCCCCTGGTGCCACCCACGAAGGTCCAGCCTCGGGCAGTGCCACTGGCTGGAAAGTCACTTGCAGAAGGGCTCACCGTTTCTATTCAGAGGCCTGGGGTGGTAAAAGGTATTAAGATTACTAAAATCAGCAAAACAGCCAGGGTCCCTGACAGCCTGCTGTGAGTCAGGCTCCGAGCTACACGCTCACCCCACTTACCTTGATCACCTGTCTCCCGGCTGCACTGCTCCCACAGGTGAGACTCAGCGAGGTCGCGTGGCCCATGGGTGGATGTGCCAGACGCTGGAACCAGAACCCCAATCCTGTTCACCCTTCCCGGCACCATGCCCTCTGGGGATAGGGGACCCTCATCAGCTGGGTGCATCCTGACTGGCCAGTCATGGTCACCTCACATTCCCGGCCAAGGCACTGAGAAGTGGTGGGCAGGGAGCACAGGAGAATTTTGGAAATTTCTCCCCTTTAAGGAAGAACAGAGGACAGGCTGCTTCTCGTCCTACCTGTGGAAGGCTCCCGTGTCAGCCTTCACTGCCCTGCACGGTGACAGCCCTGCGGGGACCCCAAGGATTCAAGTGCGAGCACAGAAGCTGCCCGTGAGTCCGGGGGCAGGGCGGTGGGGAAGGCGGAAGGAACCTGGACATCCTTAGCGACGCCCCCAGCTGCCGCATTAGTCTCGGCACATGGTGGAAACATCCTTATGGTTGAAGCCCCCTCTGCTGGGTTTTCTGATTCTGAGACCAGAGCATCCTGATGGCCACAGGCTGAGAAACCAGGCCTGCCCTCATGGTCCCGTGCTGGTACCCCTGATCCCCGCTCTGTCCTCGCTGGGGACGTGCGGTCCTGCTACCTTGCTGATTAAACCATGGGGTTGGCGGGGGAGCCGGGGGAGGGGGGTGGATGCAGGCAGAAGTCTGACAGTCAAACCTGCCAAGAACTGTCATCTTTCATTTCCACAAATATTTCTTGGCATTAGGCAGATATTGAAGAACAGTGTGCACAAGATTTATAGACACAGTAACGGCTACGTGGATACAGAAGGGGCCAAGTTTACAAAGAGCAGCAGGACCTGCCGAACGCACCTGTTCTGGAGAGCGCGGAGCGCGCGGAGGCCGAGCACGGAGAGCGCGGAGAGTGCGGAGGCCGCGGCAGCACAACCGGGCCTCCCGATCCCACACAAAACTCAGACATGCCGTTTATTTGGTCATTTTAATACAGGAAATGCCAGACCAATCAACAGGGAGGACAAACCTTACAGAGATGCTGCGTTCACTACGCGGACGGGAGGGTCTCCACGGCCCTGGGCACGCATGCACGTCCTTTTGAAAAGGGCAGGTTGAGGGCATAAATACCACAAAATAACCAGGCTCGGAGGGATCACAGGCCACGAGGGAACCACGCTTCAAAGGCAATCGAGGCATTAAATACAGGACCTACACATTACATTTCACTTCACCATACGTATAACTTATATATTAAAAGGAGACCACAGTATATATACGTGCAAGCGGCTTTGGTCAGAGAAAACGAGCCGAGCTGGGTGGAGCCATGCACGGGACGGCCTGCCCGTCTACTCTCCCTCTGTTCTTGTCCCCAGTTTTCCTGCGATCACAAAATCAGCTGGCCTTGGCGCAATCTTAGAAAGTCCCACGGGGATCCTCGGGGTGTTCTCTGGGCTCCCTGCGGGCAGGGAGGTGCCCCAGAAGCGAGGACACCGTGAGCCCTGGGAGTAACCAGATGCCAGGGAGTTCGCCCTGGAGGGACTGGGGAGGGGGCGGGAGGAGGCCAGGTGAGGAGGGAGGCGTGGCCACCAAGCCGGCAGATGCGTGTTGCCTGGCCGCCCC